TTGCTCTTTCTGAAGCTTGCAAATTCACAGACTGTTTACAAATCACATCATTTAATGTGAGGCAAAACAGTCTATTGTACGGATGAGCGGCATTGTACATACACGTCAGAAAAAGTTAGACACTCAATAATAGCTTCAACTCCCTTCATGCGAGTTTTCAACTAGTTAAAAACATTAAATAGCACTTCAAAAAGTAAATCAACTATATAGGCAAATGGACAAAGGCTATTAAAAAGTAGCGAATTGCTATAGCAGCCTACTAAATTATCTTTTGCACTCTAGGCACATGTTACTCCTTGACATATCCTATCCGGCCGTCACAAACAATTCACGCCTTTTTGCAAACCTTCATATATAATTAGTTTTATTCACAGTCAGTCACAAAAACCGTTAAGTTCGTCTTTATAAATAGGGAAGAACGGAGAATTTAATGGGCAAAATGGCATTCGGCTTTGACAGGAGTAGAAGAAGTACAAACGATTTATTCGGTCCTTTGCTCAATTACAGCTAGGAATGTTTGGTGATAAATTAGATGGAGGAGAAGTGTAATGGATGTTACTAAATTTGCACAACGTAGTTGTAGCTAGAGTTTTACATTCAAATCAAAGACTAACGTTCTTATTGCTTATGTTAATTATAACCAACCTTTTCGGAGAATTTGTTGATCTTTTATTGAGGGAAGAGAGATGACTGACCTTAAAAATTTGCTTCAGAACAAATAAATAGTCTGTTCAAGATGACAGAAAGGTGATCAACAGTAGAAGATTCAATCGCTTCTGGAATGAGTTCGCTCTCAAGCTCTCCAAGCGCATACGACTAGACGCAAAACAATGAGTCCTGTTCAACGTTCCAAAGTAAATCCGCAAATGTTTACGAAAACAAAAGGGAACTATGCAGAAGAATTGAAGTCGATCTGCTCATTAAATGATAATGACGTTCTTATTCAAATGTTACGATGATGCATGAGATGTGTTCAATTTAGAAAAACTCATACTTGTGATGTTAAAATGTGCA